AAAATATTGTGTATCATTTGTGACCAATGAAATTGCTTCTCTCCATAAATGCACACCCTCCATAAATGCACACTGTCTCTTGGTCCCAAGGGGGGTGCATTTATGGAGGTCTGACTGTATATAACGAATTAAATCATTATCAATAGGCACAAGATCATTATTTTCTTCACCTTGCACATCTATTCTTTTGTCCAAACTATCCCAAATATTATTTGCCAATTTATGAGTCAGTGCTGGATCACTCCTAGCAGATTTAAAGCTCGTTATCAATAAATATAAATATGTTGACTTGTCTGGTTTTACATTTCTGCTTTTTATGTATTTGTCATAAGAATTGCATGCAGTATTTAAATTACCTAGTTTTTGACAAGTTTTTAATAGATAGTTTATATGTTCAGTCTCAAGTTTGAATTCAGGGCTATTTGCATCCATAAGATCAACCATTGTTCTTATATGTTCTGTGGCTTCTTGAGAAACAAATTCTTCACTTAAACCTCTCAGTATTGCTGTGAATGCTTCTTGGTTTGGGATCAATGATAGTGATTTCATCTATTTTGAAAAAATGTAAATTAAGATATATATGAGTGTGTGTTACTTTTTCTCAATAATAATAATAATGAAAAAATTAATTTTTTTTATCTTATCAAATAGTTCAAGTGCTATTTTTATTTCTTTTTCTTCAACAAACTCCATTATTAATCTATTCCAATTCTCGTTGTTTTTGAGTTCATTATATTCTTCATTTGCTGCCAAATTAATAATACTATTTAATCCCTTATTGTCAAGCTTGCTAATTTTTTGTTTTAATTCTTGATACTTTCCTTTTGTAGGATCAAAGTTATTTTCCAAACTACCACCACTACTATCCTTTTCATCGCTTCTAACAATACTAGTAAAAAGTTGATGAGCACATGTTGAAATAATGTTTCTATAGTGTTGCTGCTGCTGATTATTATTTGAATGGATTTTGAGGCAATTATATTTTGATAAAGTTGAATAATTTAATACTTTTGCATTGGGATTGATATTAGGATTTAATAGAAATGTTGTTATTAAATTTCTGGAAATTTTTGTTAAAGACATGTTTATTATTTTATAGAAAAAAGAGAGATTATCAAAAAAAAAATTTGAATTGACTAATCAAATAAGGTGTCTTCGCATACACCAGATTTAAGACAGGATTAAAGATGATCATACTAATTTTAGTCAGAAATCAAACTACAGACTAGCGCATGTGAAGAATGAATTTGCTTCAAATTTAAAAAAACAAACGTTACTCAAATTTTCCCAATAAATAATAAAAAGAGGAAAAGATTCAAACAACATATTTTTTTTTTTACGATTTTATCAAAAAAAAAACCCCCATTTTCATCAAATTTAGATTTCTTATTTACCCAAATTTTTTAAATAAACTTAACTTTTACAAATCTATATATACCATGAGCTCAATCATGGTTGTCAGAAGTTCGGTTAGAAGAAGAAATAGACAAAATGGTAGTGTTAGGAGCGTAGGAATTGGTAGTAGTATAGACAGTATTAATGATAATAATTATAATGTTAGTGATGGAAGCAGTAGTGGCAGTAATAATAACAGTAATAACAACAACAATAACAACAATAATAATGAGACAAATGGCGTTGGTAATGATAATCCCAATGAAGAATTTGCAGTCACTGCACCAAGGATTAAGACGATTAGATTTGGAGAATGGGAAATGGACACTTGGTATGTAGCACCATACCCAGAAGAATATACATACAATCCAGTGTTACATATTTGTGAATTTTGTTTAAAATATATGAAGAGTGAATACATAATGAAGCGACATAAGGTTTTTTGTTGTTGATCAAACTCACCCACATGCTCTCTTCTCTCCGCCGACTTATTAACATTTATTGATAATTATTACTAGGTTAAATGTCCAATGAGGCATCCACCTGGCAATGAAATATATCGGGATGGGAAAATATCAATTTTTGAAGTAGATGGGAGAAAAAATAAGGTAACAATCAAAAGAATAAAATATATATCTATATTTATATTTATATAAATATTAATCAAAGAAATTTTCTAAAGATTATTACTTTATTTATTTATTTACTTGATAGATATATTGTCAGAATTTATGTTTGTTGGCAAAATCATTTCTAGATCACAAAACATTATATTATGATGTAGAACCATTTTTATTTTATGTTATGACTGAGACTTGTGATAATGGATGTCGTTTGATAGGTTACTTCTCAAAGGTTTGTAATATTTATGTATATAAGAATATATATGGTTATAGGTATGTATTTATACAAGTGTATCTTTATTCCTTAGGAAAAACGCTCGCCATTGAATTATAATGTATCATGTATTTTAACTCTCCCAGTTTATCAAAGAAAAGGCTATGGAAATTTGTTGATCGAATTCAGTAATATATTTATATATTGATTTCTTTAATATATTAAAAGAATTTTTTAATGATTTGATAACAATAATAATTTTATTACATTGTGGATAAAATAGGTTATCTTCTTTCAAAAGGTGAAAATAAGCTTGGTTCTCCAGAAAAACCATTATCAGAACTTGGACTGTTAAGTTATCGAAATTATTGGCGTAATATATTATTTGAAGATTTCAAAAAGCACATCAATGATGAAGATTTGACTACTCTTACAATTGAACGTGAGTAAGAAATTAACTGATTTTAAAATTGGATTAATAGCTATTAATCAGATTACAGTAACAATAACAATAATAATTTTTTCTTTCCATAAAAAAAGAACTATGTAATGAAACAAGTATGACACCAAATGATATTGTTGCAACGTTACACATAAATAACATGATAAAGAAAAATGAATGTGATAGCACTTACAATGTAATAATTGATCAGGATTGTATTGATGAATATTTAAGGAAACTTGAGGCTAAAAATTACCCTAGAATAAAGCCGGAAAATCTAAGGTGGACACCATATATTTTACATAGAACAATAGACCCACGAAATTTAAATCATTCTGATAATAATAACAATAATAGTGGTGGTGGTGGCACTGGTAGTACTAGTAATATTAATGGTAACCATCACAATAGTAACATAGCACCAACAGATGATAATATTGGTGGTAGAAATAGGGTTAATAATATTAATGATAATGAAGCCGCTAGTGATGGCGGTGATAATAAAAATAATAATAATGTTAAGGTTAAGAAGAAAGTGGGTAGAAAACCCAAGCGTAAGAATACCAGGTTCACTCCATACTAGCATTAGGTGACATAATGTCATCATTATAGCAAAAAAAAATTTTTTTTATTATGTATATTTGTAATTATCAATTTGAAAAAAAAAACATCGTCATAAAGAAAAATATTAAATTATTAATTAATAATATTGCTTTCGTTTTTATCAAAGCTTTTTGCAAATGTTTCTGCCACTATCAAAGGAAATACAATTGTTGCATCTGCATAAACCTATAAAAATATATATAATATATATAATAAAAAATATGGAAATAATTGTTAAAGATTTTATTCGATTAATTAATTACCTTTACATGTTCTGCATCAACACTAATCTTCCCCCAACTGACTGCTTCGTCAGGTCTAGCACCTGCATCGCTACCATCGAATTCTTGTCCCGTGTTAATATAAACAGAATAATCTGCTCCATTTCTCTAAACATATCCAAATATATATAAATAAATATCATACACAATTAATCAATTAATAAAGCATCATTTATAAAAAATATTTTTTCTATTAATTACCATTAAGTTTGCATTACATATATGATGTTTAATAACACCGCCACCTAAAATTATCATGCCAGTTTTTTTTGCAAAAACAGCTTTATCATTTAATGATCGAATATCTGAAGCAATATCAATAATCAATCCGGGATTTTTAAATGAATGAAAATAAATCATATCTCCTAATGATCCATCCGTCAATGCTGGACAATATACTGGAATATCATTCTATATTAAAATACAGTTGTTGTGATTCATAAATTGATTGATCATTTAATTGGTTGTAATTGATTGATTATTGAATTGACAAATTAAGAATTGTTCCGTTTTTATTATTATCATTATTATCATTATCATTACTTATTAGTGTACCTTATATGCCCAATAATATATAGAGTCTGGATTATTAATCTCTTTGCCTAATCTATGGATAATCTTTGATGGTGTCCATATTATTCCCTATCAATAAAATCAATAAAATTCATAATTTAACTATATATAATAATTAAACAAAGAAAAAGCACCCTATAAAAAAAACAGGGATTAAAAACTTCTTTACTTTGCTCTTTTGCTCTTCCAATAACTTATCCAGAATAGGCGTCACCCAATCCTCAAATTTACAATAATTATCGTTAGGCACTACTAAATTTCCAATACGATTTAATCCATTTTTTCTTAGCTCTTTACCTGGCAAATGAAATTCGCCTATATATGTGGGTGCTAAACATTTTATAAAATCTTCCTCCACACCACCAGCCGTAGTCGCTACAACATCAACATATCGATGCTCCACAAGAAATCTAAACACTTCTCGCAATCCTGACGATACCATATTGGATGTGTAGCCAAAAAATATTTTACATTTGGTATTCTCACGTATTGTTGGATTCAGGTAATGATCCGTCTCGTCTTCTTCAATTGGATCATCTGATAATCTCCATTTACGCTTATTTAATAAATAAAGAAAAGTTTTAGAATAATTTGTTGTTGTAAAATTTAAAAATAAAGATAAAAATTATAAAAATTGGTAATACGTATTACCATTTTATTAATAATTTCAATAGCTCTACCTAGACTAGTGGCTTGAAAACCAATCCTAGAATAATATGAGCCAATTAATTCACCCAAAGATAAATTTTTATTGAAATCTGGTCCAATAACTGTTTTTGAAGACTCTGGCATCGGCGTTGACTGAACCAGGACTGCTTGAGTGATGGAGGAGGGAACTAAAACTTTTGTTTCATTGCTGATATTATTGTTGAATTCCTCCTCCTCATCGTTATTTTTGTGAATTGTACAGTGGACAACAGGAGAAGTCATCAATTATTGCAATATTTTTAAAAATTTTTACCAATTTTTTTCATTTCATTGGTCAAAAATACTTTCACATGATATTTTCCCACCTGGTATCAGGACTCCGATGTAGATTTCCTGAGGCCTACTAGAAGATGGACAAAAAAATAAGAGAAATAATATCTTCTTATTATATATTTCGTTAAAAAGTTTTTATAATAAAATATCACGTTAATTCGTTTGTATAATGCGCGCCACTATTTCTGCAAAATTTTGGTTTTTTTTTTTATAAAATCATAACGGTCAGTTATTTATATAATTGGACTTTGAAATTTTCTAATAAAAAGTAGGAGTGTAGGGTCAGTAAACTCGTGCAACTTTTGTGCCTAGTAGGCTAGCTTTAACTCAACTACATGTTGGTTGGAGTGGGATTACATGTAGGAATTTTAAATGCTCAAGTAAAATATTCGGGTCAGTACGGAATACTTCCCGGTCAGTTCCAATTGAACCAGCAGTGATTGTATACCAGTTGAATAAACTAGCGCATTCAACTAATTAGAGCTAAGATTAAAAGATTTTTTTAACAACTATTGAGAGTTTGCACCATAAATACAGTTTTCTTATTTTGTTATCAATAATAACAACAATTTAAACTCGTTGTCGATCATTGACAATTTACAGTGTCCAAGTCCTAAGCTTGGGACTTAGAGATGCACTCTCTCTATGTTCTGTACTGCAGGGTCTTTTTCCAGGCTCTAAATGCACCCCGTGATTTTCACGTGACCACATTATAATATGTGTTACACGCATAACTGATACCGAAGCTTGGAAAATGGATGATGGAGTAGTTTCCATAACAGGTAGTGTCGTTTTTTGAGCAGAGAAATCGAATTATAATGAAAATTTGTTCCAAGGAACCAAATTTTTCATTAAATAAAAAAAAAACGTCATGACAACTAATTGAACTGTTATTAAGTTATTCTAATTAAAAATCAAATTAAAAGTATTGTTTTCATTTTGATTATTTTAAAATTCTTTTGATGAAGTATATTTTTTGAAAATTTAGATTTAATTGCTTTTCATTTAATTATTTCAAAATTTGGAGTAATGAATTTTAGTGTTAAATATGGCTTGTCAAGATAAAGTAACTTCATCCAGTGAATGCTTTCTGTTAACTTAACGAGGAAAATAATTGATGAATGAAAATTGGAAATGAAAAGAAAAAACCTGAAATTTTATAGAAAAATTGCATTTTCTCAAATCTTTATTTTATTTTATACGTACATATTTTTTCATTTATTAAAACATTTTTCTTCATTTATAAATTTCCATGCTAATCTTGGGCCCTTTTTTTGCATTTTGATGGACAATTCTTCATTGTTATTTAAGAAAGCATAGCCTATCCATCATAGCGATAAATTGCAATTTCTTTACCGGTCACACTTTCTCTTTCGACACCCTTATTAAGTATACGTTCAAGTGAATTTGCTCTTTGTTTAATTTATTTTTTGAGAATAACGAAAATTGTTGGATGTTTTAAAAAAAAAAGAATCATTTAGTGATGATATTAGCCGGCTAAAAAGATTTCTCTTAGCATTCATTTTCACGTCTGGAATTATAGACATTTAGAGATGGGTTCACCTGAATTACATGGAATGACAAAAAAAACATACATTTGCTCAAAAAACGAAATACAATACATCATAGCAGGATAAAGCCATAGAGTTTCTATTCATAATGCAAATTCTTATTTTAAATTCGAATTATCATTATTCGTTCTATTCGAATTATTTTATTGAATTATTTGTTTTATTGAATTATTCGTTTTATTTGTTTATTTTAATAAACTTTTAATTAGAATATTCAAATTCATACAAATAATCGAACCATTAAAGGAGAGATATTGTAATAACAATAGTAAATAATAATAACAGTATAATAACGATAGTAGCAGTAATAATAATATCGGCAAGTCTAGTACTATCTGAAAAGTTTTTTCATAAAGTAGGATTTATCAAGTTCTTAGCCGGAATGTATAAAAAAATTTTGTCAAAAAATTTGATTTACTGACGCCATCTTGGGATCAAGTGTGAATATTCTGGATGCATAAAAGCATTTTACCAAAAAAACTGAATTAATACATTAATACAACATACAAGATGCCATCTGGGAATAAAAGATTGCATCCAGGATGTGCCAAAGTATTTTGTCAAAAAGGTGCTTTACAAAACGTCATCTTGGAGTAAAAAATTACAAGCGTGAATATCCGAGATGTACCAAAGCATACTGCTTTTACAAGTTACAAGATTATATAAGGCGCCAGCTTGGAATAAAGTGATATATTTGGATGTGATAAAAGATTTGTTGCAAAATTTGAATTCAACAGTCGTCATGAATCTAAAATGTCTTATTATAATGATTATAATTATCAATTAAAATTTACGAAAACATCATAAATAACAATAAAATTCACTGTTAGTATTAGTAAATAAAACCATAAAGTCCTTAGAAAATCTTACCACAATTCAAACTTCATTTACATGAAATTTTAACGCAAGAAGCTCCAAATTAATTTATTTTCATTAAATTCAATCTGTTTTAATATTAGTAACCACGATGGTAACTACAGACTTTTATTTAATTCTATTATATTATTATTTAATTATGAACAATTGTCACGAGCACAATGCTAAATGCCGTTTCCAATGTTAAATGCTATTTTATAATTTTATGATTAAATAATAAATAAAGTCTATATATATTATTATCAAAATGACATCTAAACATTATATTAATGCAAATCATTATTTCATATTCTAAATTGATTAACTTTAAAAACCATCACCTATTTACCACTCTCTAACCAGTTTTTTCCCACTACATTTTCATTATATGTTATATTCCATGAACTCAACTTTCCAAACACATTCCTGTTCATCACATGTTCACAATCAGGACCACAACACTTTCCCATCTTACACAACTCCACATAATCTGTTTCGCTTACCAACTTGATCACATTCTTGTTCACAACATCATTCTTTATAAACCTTAGTAGTCGATCAATGGTTACTCGTCTATTTGCATCTTTGGTATATTCTGCATAAATCAGCCGATCGACCTTATTAGGAACCTCCGGACCAAGGAAGTCCAATAACTCCAAATATTCCAACGCCACGCCATGCCTATCCAACACCTCTTTTGCCAACACGAAATCTGAAACTTGACAATCCCCTTCTTGACATTCAAAATTATAGAATCTTCTTCCCATAGATGTAAATACATATGCAAACCAATCCTCATAATAGTGTCTAGAATCTATACTTATAACTGTTGTATTTTTTTGCATGAGTAATGCAACACCTATCCCACTTCCATGTGATGACATCAATATATCAATATCTGACAAGAGTTTTGCAGTTGCCTGTAATGAACACCCTGAATCAAAATCAAGAAGTTTTACAATGAATTTGTAACCTCCTCCTTGATCATTTATTAATGCATCAATTAATTTGTCAATATTTAAGATTCTGCGATTATGGTATCTTTGTAAGATTCCTATTTTTATTATTATATCTGATGGTGCGGATGAATCGGATGTGAATTCTCTTGATTTGCTTATACATTCCAATTTTTGTGAGTATAAATTTGCATTATTTGAATAAAAATCCCATTTTCCATCATCAATATAATATGAAAATATATCTTTTCTAAATTGTTCATAAATTTCCGATGGAATGTTTCTTTCACAATACTGTAATGAACATCTATTTCCCGTTCCTTGATTTTTTTAAAAAAAATAAAGTCTAGTTAATTAACCCGTGTGCACTTTAAAAATAAATTTTGGGATTAATAATAACCTTAGCGTTAACTTTAACTTCGACTAAAAATAAAAACCTACCAAAAACCCCTCTTGCGAAACAAATTGGTATGCTTGGAGCCAAAACCTGTTGTGGAGTTAGCACTTCATTTACATGGCTCACAATTTCTTTCCCTTCATCCGCCAAAAACATTGTATCATGTCCATAATGTGTATGCAATTTATTACCATATTTGCTTGGATTATCCACTCTCAATAACCATGACCTTCTTGTTGCATTAAACTCACGCATTGTGCTGTACAACGGGATCAGACCATTATAAAGCCAATGTGAGAAATGGAATGGTTCATATAAATCATAAACAAATATTGTATCATTGATGTATTGTATTTTATGAGATTGGAGGTCAGATAGCTTGCGTACATTAGGCTGATAGTAGTGGTCTGAAGGCTCATCTGAGCTCATTACATTGATTTTCGGTATTGTTGAGGAAAAATCCAAGGCTTGTTCTTTGTCACTAAATATAAATGCGCCTAGATGATACATTTAAACAAATAAAAACATATATACATAATAAATAATACCAATATTACTCAACTAACCAACTAACCATTACTATCTACGCAAAAATTTGTAACTTCGCATATCATTCCTCTTCCTTCACCCGAACATTTCCACTCACTCTTTTTGGTTATAACGTCATGAAATGCAAAAATGTCATCATCTTTCAAGATCCAAGAAGGATTTGACGAAGAATAATAGTAATAATATATTAGGAGTGTTATAGAAGATAATAAAGATAGGAAGAGCAATAAGGATTTACAAAAATTATTGTTAGCTGGTATCGATCTTGGAAACATCATAAAGAATCAAAATAACAAATTAACAATAAATTCGTCATTTGAAATTTTTAATTTTGATGATCGATTTGGAAAACAATAATCTAATATTAATATCTACATTTCCCATTCCTCCCAAAGTAAAAAAATTTCGATTTTTTCTATTTGCACGCAAAAAAATTTACCTAAATAGTATATAGGACAAAACTTTTCAAATTTTTCGTATTTCCTTGACGTTTGTACCTAAATCGCAGAGGTGTTAGATATAATAATAAGTATTATTCAATTTCCCTATTACTATGTTTGTGATTATAGGATTTTTGTCGATCATTTTCATAAACTCGACATAATTTCTGAAAAAATGTTTTAAGCTTGCAGGATATGCATCTACAATGTAACAGAGCCATATTATATTGAAAATCCCCAAGATAATGTCAATGAATAAAGAATTTTCATACATCTAAAATTGAGCTAATTTGAATTTCATGCATGTGAATCAAATTCTTATTAAAAAGGCAGTGATTTCAATTCACAATAAAATTTTATACATCAGATTTATGGTTCTAGCCAAAAAAATTGCAAAATTTAAAATAGCTTTGTTACGTTATAGATAAGGTTCTTGTTAATCAAAAACACTTAATTTTTTTTCTAGATTTCATTTTTTCATAAAAACTGTTATAACTCATCATACTGACGAGAATTTTTAATTCTGAAAAATGTTTTGAGCTAGCAGAACATGTCTCTACAATGTAATAGAGCCATATTTTAAAAATATTTATTAACGTTGATGTATTTTCATATTGTTTTATCACAAATTCTAAATAACTGTCAATACATATAAATTTAAAAAATCATATTAAACAAAAAAAAATAGCGCCGTTACGTTATAGACAAGGTTTCTAGAAATTAAAATCATTTTCAATTTTTTTCTAGCTATTTTGCTTCCAAAGTTATAAACTTTTTAAGTTTCCCGCTCGTTAATAGCAAAAAATATTTTTAAATAAAAAATTTGATCGAATTGATTTTCCCTATGTTTGTGATTATACTTGTATCTAAATCATGTCTTTCGAGGCAATTATTTCTGTTCCTTTTCCAAAGAGACTGTTAGTTTTGCTGTTGAGCTTAATTTACACAACTGGTAGTTTATACTTTTAATTCAGTCAACTAATTCGTATCTGGTGATGTTCGTGGCTAAAATATTTGGAGCGCGTATTTAAATGGAATTAAAAAGTAGATATAGAGGAAACAAAAAAAAATAATTTGCAACCAAATTGATGGAAAACTCAAAATAACACCATTTTCGTTATAAAAATTGGAATTTTGTTCAATGAAATTATTATAGAGCTCGATATATATAGTGGCCTTACATTTTTCGTTCTCACAAGATTTGTTTATATTTATTTTAAAAATTAATAATTGCTAGTTTATTCCATATGATAATAATTTTTTTATTTTTATTTTCATATGGAGAATATTGTTCTGGATTCTAATTACTGCGCGTTACTCTGTTAAAAAAAGAAAAATCCCTAAAATTATAATTAATCTATTGTATCTATCTTTATATTACAATTATATAAAATAAATAATTATAAAATAAATGTTAATGTATAAATCATAAGCATCATACTCTAAATGTTAATTGTTTTATAATATCCCGCCAACGGTACCATTATTTGGAGCAGGTTCAAGATTCAAAACATTTGCAACAATATTATAAACCTCGAGATTTGAAAATGGATCAACTACATTGGTATTTAACTTGGATAATTTTTCTTTAAAGTATGGACCAGATGCCAAAAATATTCCTCTCATTTCAGGTGCCTGATTATCATAACCATGAGAACCATTGTGGAACATCGCAAAATCACGATGAGATGTTAGCACCCAACCAACAGGCGGTATACAAAATATTGGAGCTATGCGTTTTGAATTACGATAATGATATCTTTCAGGAATCTCTTCTCTTAAATAACAATTCCATAATTGATTTTCACTGGCTTCTACTAACGACGAATAAATTTCTGGTATATCAGAATCATTATATGGTCTTATTCCAGCTAATGGGTATCCTTCAAATTCCCGAACCTTTGTAATATCAAAAAAATTATCTAAATATATAATATTTGATGGTATCACTTGTGCCATTCCATGATCACTAACCTAATTAATAAAAAAAATTACGTTAATTTTTATATATATGCGTATATATATAGAATTAATAATTCAATGAACTATTACTTACAATTATGATATTAACAATATCAGTTAAGTTACGAGAAGACAATTTTGAAAGTAAATCAGCAATCATATTATCAAGAATTCCAAGTGTTTGATTAAGTTCTTTAGAAAATGGACCAAATAAATGGCCTGCGGCATCTGCATGATTCATATATGCAGTGATAAAAGTAGGTCTTTGTTCTTTTTCTAAATCTAACCAATCGATCACTTGATTAACTTTTTCTTCTGGTAAAACGTTGTTACTATATGGTATATTGTAAGTTGGTCTATATCCTTTAATTACTGAACTCCCACCAACCCACATTGAAACTGCTGATTTTTGATTTTGTATAACTGCAGTTACCCATATCTTTTATATGAAAATAATTATCTTATTATTAATAAATATGCATGTATATGTATGTAATAATGGTTTTATATAATTAATTGATTAATTAATTACCGGTTCACCGCCCCACCATTTAGAATCAAAACTTTTTTCAGGTTTTGTATAATAAAAGTCATCATTTAAATCAGGATCATAAAATTCATTTCCCACAATTCCATGTGATTCAGGATAAAGGCCGGTGACAATTGTATAATGATTAGCAAATGTTACAGACTTTTAGAAAAATTTATTATTAATATATGATTATGTGATATATATTATTATTTTGTTTTTTAAAAATAAATAATAGTATGGTTATTTACTAACCGGAAATACGGGCTCAAGATATTTAGCTCTGATTCCATTATCGACTAAATAATAATAAATAATATATATATTTCAAGTTAATTAATTAAAATTGTTTCTTTTTATATAATTATCATCATCAAAAATCTTACTAAATTTTTGTATAGTGGGGGTTTTATTTCTATCCAAATAATCCCATCTAAATCCATCAAATGATATCAATATTACTGTTGGATTAAATTCATGAGTTCCATTGAAAAAAGTTGTCGATTTTTCTTTTCTACCGTCTGGTGGATTTATTATTAATATTATACATAAAATTATTATTGCTAACAATATCGTGATCAAAAACACACGAAGAAAAAAGATGCGATAACTCTAATTATTAAATCATATTAGAATGGGACAAATTAAAAAAAAAATTTGATTTTAAATTTTATAGTCATTAATATCATATATAACTTACTTCAAATACATTTTCTCGTGTTTCCTCACGAACACCACTTAAAAAACCTTCCCTTTCTTCTCCCAGTGAGATTCTAGATTGATTTGATTCTTGAATACTTGCAGTTAATTCAATATCATTAATTGAAATTTGATTATGGTTAAAACTGTCATTTGAAGAAATGCTAATTTGAGAAAGTAATGTCATTACTTTTTTAAAAAAATTTATTATGATGTATTTCTTGGAAAGAATAACAACAACAACAATGATTAATAAGAAATGGTATATATATTAAGAATGCGACTTTCCCTTAATGGTAAGTATTCATTTAACATTAAATATTGGGTGCACTGCGGTTTGACAACATGCATGGCAAAAATTCATTTATTATTATGAATTTTAACCAATACGATGTATATTATATCCATTAAAGCTTGACAAAGAGGAATGGAAAGAAGAACAAAAAAGAATTTCATAAGATATATGAAGAACAAGAAGGGTTTGATGGAGTGGAAGAGGAACGAGGAAAATTTATTGTATATACTACTGAAAAGAAGCCAACCCTTTGGTTATACTGCTGGTAAAGTAGGCTTTGTAAATATTTTGGAAATGGGAAAAGATTAGCATAGTAAAAATTTGAAATGTTACACTAATTTTTTATATTGTGCAAACATTCTGGCAATAAAAAGTAAGTGATAAACTGGATCTGAACTTGATCTCCAATTTAGAGAGGTAACGCTATAATATACTGTGAAGTTTCAGGAGCAATGGGTTCTGTATAATATTTCGTGTAACAACAAACTTCCACTATGCTGAAAAGATTTGTGCTCAATTTTAAATCAACAAATTTTTTTGCCACATGTCAAATTTCTAATAATCAAACATTGCTTGTTTCTTTTTCAATGGTGTGCTTGCTGCCTTGGCATCTTGTAATTATATATTTAATAATAATAATAATATTGTTTATGATCATGCAAAGAAAATACCAATTGTTCACCTGTCTTGGATAATAATAAATAACTGCATTTTGATTCCAATTATAATATTTATAATAACTAAAAATGACATATCAGGACAAATAAAAAAAGCACCTCTAGTTTGTTATTAACATGTCTTCAGAGCTAATTCATATCATACCAAACAACATCACTCATGTTTTGTCATCTTGGAATCTGTCAAAAATAAATTGTTGTTCCAAAAAAAATTTTGTACACATGTAATAATAATAATAATTAGTTGTGTTAATTTTTTATGAATAAAGTGACATGACAAGAACTAAAGATTTTACTATCATCTGCTTATCAAGTAAAAATTAATCTTCATATCAAATACTATAATTTACTGAAGTTTCGCCGCATATAAATAAAAACATTGTTGTTTTAAAAGGTAAAATGAAAATTTCAGAATTTTCTGAAAAATGTTTGACTCGAAAATTTACCACAATAGCAATTTCTAACGACCTTTGTGGTATAAGTAAAAAATGTAAATCTAGTTACTTTTAAAATTTTAGAGCATTTGGTGAATTAATTAATGAGGAAAAAAATAAATTGTAAAAAATTTTACAAAGTGATTCAACCTCAAACTGCTCACTAATTAATATATGAAACTATTTTGTTTCTCTGCTTCTAAACAGCATCAACCCTTTGTAGCATAGTACGAAAATGATCTTAAAAGTTGGCCGATTGACCAATAAGAATGCAAGATCGTGACCAAAAATTATTTTGTGTTACCATTAAAGAATAGACCGTTTAGTATTGTTGTACGTGAAAATGAAATTATGTGAATTCGCAATTCACATATGTGGAATTCAAATTTACATATGTGAAATTCAAATTGGAAATTAAGCCCAAAGATTGAAAATGTGCATGTTATCCAATTCCTTAATTTATTATTATTATAGAGCTTATAGAACTGGTAGTCCAACTTCATGTTAAGATTATCGCTTAGTGGTATTTGTTTACCCTGGCAAAAAATACATCAAAATAAAGGTTTTTTCATATATTTGTTATTTTTTATGATTAAAGTAACAATTTGATTAAATCAGGCAAGTTTGTGTATGAAAGCGTGATTTTTTTCTTCATTTTTTCATATAAAATTCTGTGTTGATCAAAAATTTTTTATTAGTGAGTGACACTTGACCCCCTGTAGATCCGCAATGTCCTGCGACTGCTAGTAATTTCATAGTGTGTGAGTGACAGTTTTGGATTCACAAAATCTATATGTGTAACATCGAGTTGTCCCCCCATTTATTTACTTACCCCTAGATAATACAATAATAACCTTGTAACAAATATATCATCAGTAATAAAGACACATAACACTTTTACAATAAACACTTGAATCCTTAATAAAATTTGTTGATAAACCTTTGCTGAAAAGCACTCTTCACCTTAAATTAAGACCATACTAACTAGGGGACACCTTAGCTAGACAGTGGAATTTTTATTTATCATTTTTAGGCTTTGGCCAACAGTACTTCATATTAGTATTGTAGAGAGAGAATTGCACAATAGAGTTTTGAGTAGGCTCTGAGCTGTGTGCCAATACAGAGGCCTGAGAATTGAGAACCCTGAGCTGTGTGCTGAAACAGGGAGATTTATATATTGGACTTTTTTTTATTTTTATTTATTTTCTCTTATATATTTATTGGACACATCACAAGCTGTATTTGAATTTACATGCTCGCAGCATATTCATATTCATATTCCCTTGTTGTGCAATTCAATCACAAGTGTTCACTTGACAATGAGTATAATTTTATTAGTCAAATGATTTGTCACATTAAACAATTGGGAAATGTATTTTCCGAAATTTTCTGGTGATCAATGTTGAAATTCTATTAATAAAATTAGCCACAAACCTTAATTTTAACCCTTTTTTGCTCACCAATCTCCACCAAATTTGAGAC